CTGAACAGGAATGTATGCGACTTGATGGACCGAAACATTCCTATTCAGATTTTAATTCAGATTTTATTCACATCCTCCTTTTTTATTATGCGTTTTGTGCTGTGTTACAGCAGTAAAAAACGCATATTGTCACGGGGTTGTCTGTGTGTGTTTGTCTGTGTCCGCAGCAACTTGTCCGCAACTTTCAACTCGGGAACCACAAAAGCTAGGAAGCTGGAAATTTAGGGTAACGTTTCCCGCAGCAACTTGTCCGCAACTTTCAACTCGGGAACCACAAAAGCTATGAAGCTGAAAATTTAACGCAGCAACTTGTCCGCAACTTTCAACTCGGGAACCACAAAAGCTAGGAAGCTGAAAATTTAAGGGGTGTCCGCAACTTTCAACTCGAGAACCACAAAAGCTAGGAAGCTGAAAATTTAGGGTAATGTTCCCCACCCACGTGTGACTGTCCGCAACTTTCAACTCGGGAACCACAAAAGCTAGGAAGCTGAAAATTTAGGGTAACGTTCCCCACCGCAACTTTCAACTCGGGAACCACAAAAGCTAGGAAGCTGAAAATTTAGGGGAACGTTCCCCACCTGCAACTTTCAACTCGGGAACCACAAAAGCTAGGAAGCTGAAAATTTAGGGAAACGTTACCCACCCACGTGTGACCCCATCAACTCGGGAACCACAAAAGCTAGGAAGCTGAAAATTTAGGGGAACGTTCCCCACCCACGTGTGATTCCACTCGGGAACCACAAAAGCTAGGAAGCTGAAAATTTAGGGGAACATTCCCCACCCACGTGTGACCCCGCAAATTTAAATTCAGCTTCCCCGTACCCGCGGGTAACGTGTGCGGCTCCGTGAAAGTTTCTTACGGGTAAGTTAATACCTCGGGAACCACGGAGTCTAGGAGGCTGAAATTTTACGGTAATAACCACCTTCCCACGCTCAACCTTTCCCATTCAAATTCAGCCGTCTCATACCCGCAGGTAACACGTACGGCCCCGTGAAATTTTTTTACGGGCAAATTAGTATCTCGGGAACCACGGAGTCTAGGAGGCTGAAATTTTAGGGTAATGACCCCCTGCCCACGC